ACTTTTATTGGCTCACAAGAGCACCGGGGGCAATGAAACACTGGATGGGATTGCTAAGACTGATTAACAGCTAACATCCGAAAACATCATCAACATTACTTGGATTTAGCAGCTGAACTCCATCATTCAATTCCAACGCCAACACTTCGGTGAGCAGATAAATTSAAGTTTTGGGTCGGTCGATTGACCACMAAGATTGTGTGATATCACACCGTTAGACTATTTCTTGTGGTCATATGAAAATTCTATAGTCAACGCGGGCAATCCCTCTTCGATTCAGGCCTTGAAGATAAAACATTACGCTTGAGTGAAATTCATATCGAAAATGGACTGAACCGTTGGATCAGCTGAGACATTAGAAAGAGATWAGCTTCCAAAAATAAATGAAAAAGAATGTCTCGTGCCTAGAGCGCGGTTCTGTATGAACTCAATCTGCTCTTAATGCTTTGTTATGGCGTTTGTTATTATTGCTCAGGCAATTAAAGCCGTTGCTGATGCTGCTGAGTATATTGAATCACTCAGGCTGTCGATAATTAGCAATTGTGATGCCTCATAAACCAGTAGGTGKGCACATAAACATTYATACTGGGGTCTGTGGCGAGCCACAATTCTTACAGGAAATCTCTGCGATATGAAAATGTACAATCAAAACAAAATCACTGATTGTGCGGAGTTCAGTAGCCGTTCAAAGATATGTACAAGTGTTGACAGAAAAGCAAACTAAACAAAAACAACAAAAACTGGTTGCAGCAGCAACAAATCAAAACAAGTTAGCTGATGACGCTGCAACAAGATGTACAACATTTAACATTGCCAAAGCAAACACGCGCCAATTGGACAAAAAATTACAATAACAAGCATTACAACAACGGCAACAGCAATTACGACAATAGTAAGAGAGCATATAACAACAATAATAGCCAATGCAAGAACAACAACAAACACATGCAACAATAATAACTGAAAATACAACCAAAACAACAACCATTGCMTCAAATACAACAATAATAGCAGGCAATACAAAGATTACAACAATCATTGCAATGATAACAACAACTCATTCAACTGATTTATGCCGCTGCTGCGCYACTCCAACGTCCGATTGTGTTAATCGCAGCTTGCGCGCATCGAGCTTAAACGCCGTCACATACAAGCACAGCATGCACACTCTTTTGGGCGCCAAACTGGCCAAGCAGGTATTGCGCATGCGCGAGCACAGGCACAATTGACGGCCACCATTAAAGGCCAGCCAAGGTAAGCGAATTGGCGTTGAAGGAAATAACCGTTTTTTTTTAGTCTCACAYACACATACGTTGCACACATRYATACAAGTATTTATGCAAACTYGTGCAATTTCATGCAACRCATGCTGCAACATGCCACATTTAACAGCTAACGCCGCAGAGGCGTGCATTTGGGCGCCAAATATGGGTTAAGTGTTCGACGACAGCAGAATTTCGGATGCTCAGTCGCTTAAGTGTAACGGCGCAAATGTTGCTGGCATGTTGCGGCAATCACAGTTAACACTTTTGACGATTATTCGGATTTTTTCATTTGCGTATGCGTGTGTGCGTTGCAAACACTTGTGTAAGAGTTAAAAAAATGCTTAATTTTTGCACCGTTTAATCACTTATGGCGAGGATGTCCAAATGTGTACAACAAGCAACATGTTGCAGACGAAATGAGGAGAAATTAAGCGCAAAAATTAAAAAGAAATAAAAACGGCATTTGAGCGGCGCGGCGCTGCATTACTCACTGGCACCGTCGACGTCGCTTCGCTGTTGTTGCTTTTGTTGTCGTCGCGTATGCTTTCCTGTATGCTTTCTTCGTGTGCCTCATTATTGCAAATATTATTGCCACAAGCACTGCATTTATTAGTGTTGTTATTGTGATTAGCGGTCGTATCATTGCTGGAATTAATTTTATCGGAATCCGTCGTCGCACTGTTACACAATCGCGCTGCGCGGCCGGCCATTGCCATAGACGAACTGGACCAGCGCCTGAAAAAGCAYACATCGCTCGCTATGACGGACATTTGTTGTTTGTTTTCGTTGTTGTTGTCTTTTAGTACTACTATTAAGGCGATAATTTTGCGTTCTGGTGTGAAATGTCGACGCGCTTCTAACGAAAATTCATGCAAATGAACTTCGGTCTGCGGCAATTTGTTATTGTAATGCCACACACATGTTAGCAGCAWTAATAATCCGCACAACGACGAAACGATAAACATTCAAAAACATAATTCGGCAGCAAAAACAACAATTTTGCGAAGAAAATATAGAACTGAACCACTTAGTCGCCCTTTGAAATGGCGTATGTGCGAAAACTAAGCGTTTGATTTGCTTTGTGTGCGCGACGGAGCGCTGAGCGCGCTTACAATCAAGCAAAACATATTTTCAATTGTATGTAGCAGTATATCAGTAACTTATGCGACTGTGATTCACAATGCATTGCTAATGCACAGGGCAAATAGACATGGTGCTACAGTGTTGCCACGTTATATAGGAGTACTATAATGGAAATGAGTATTTGAAAGCTGTTGGTAGTATGATAGTAGTAAGATGTAGGAAGCATACATAATTTTTTTCCAAGTAACTGTTGTGTAAAATCAAGACTTTTCGATAAATGCATACCAAAACAWTAAAAAACGTTAACTTTGGYATTACATGCTCTAGTGGTTGATCTGAGATCGGAGCAATATATTCGGAGAATATGGCATTGTCTCGGATAATCCATGCAGAATTTCGTGATTATATCTTTTTAAATAGAAAAGTTGTTCATTAAAGTACTCGATTTTGATCGAACAGTTTGTAAGGTAGCTATATGCTATAGTGATCCGACAGCKACTGTTTTCAACAAATGAGCAGCTGCTTGGGAAGGAAAGGACGCATGCGAATTTCAGTTCAATATCTCTAAAAATGAGCAACTAGTTCTCATATATACAGACAGAYGGACTAAGYTTTTTCACAGATCAGGGTATAATGGTGAAAGTAGTATAGTTTAAATCCAATTAATACGCTTCCCAAGTTTTCAAAATTTGCCCACTTGTCGTTGTTAACCACAAMACTAACCAAAAGTAGTCCTACCTTTCAAATTATGGGTATTAAGTATTAAATTGAAGTTCGAGATATAATTTAAAGTTCAAGATTTTATTAGCACAGATTTCTAAAGCATCCTACAAGGTCAGTTATTAATATATTTTACTATGTTTATTGAGTGCTGTAAAAGTTAACGCCTAGGAATGGACTAAAAATTCCTAATTGACGATGAAGTTATATTAGTTGGAAGGGTTGATCTAAAATCGATCGATCTCACTTGGACACATCTTCGGCTGTTGTGTTACCCCTAACCAACAAAACAAAAAAAAAAAAAAAAAAGGTCACCTCATCCTCACAGATCGACGACTCGTTGTGTGTATACCACACATTTATTAATAGGGTTATTATTAGAGCAGTGTCTACCGACGTATGTATTTTAATCTTAGTCTGACAAAAAGTCGGACAATGGAGAAGAAAGTGAGAATTAGCAAAGAGCGCGTGGAGTTACTATACAGCGTTCGGTCATAACACTAAAATTTCGGCGAGATCGGCTAAGAGCCAATAGTTTAGAGTACCGATTATGATTCATTCAACRCTTGCTAAGCTAACAGGTGGTCCATAGGACMAACGACAGAACACAAGAAGACATCAGAAGACCTGCTMGCTTCCAATTGGTTAAAATTGGGAATAAAGATGTTTTTCTTGGCAAACTCATCGACTTTGCAGYTTCCGGCTATTCCGCTGGCACGCATACAAGTCTAAGATGAAAGAAGCTTGTAGCTATTGCTAAAGAGGTCTGATGCTTGACTAGTTTTGAGTTCACAGTTGCCGAACTCAATGCTAGTATAGTTGTTCTGCTATTGGAGTGAATGCACACCTCTCTGAAGGAAGCTGCACCTCAAGGCAGTACATTTACTGCTGCCGTCTCCGATTGAACGGCTCTACAGTGGTCTGGTAGTCTCAAATTGAAATTGCTAGAACGCTCTCTCGTACTTTCTCTTTTAACTTTGATTCAGCCGTGAAAACAAATGGGAGTTATCCTTATATGCTGGGAGAACAGTATGAATTCAAAGACTTAAAGAGAAATTCTTCTTAAAAACTGCTACATAAACCTTTTCCTTTCGGTATTATTCCTTTTTTGCAATCATAACACTTCAAACTTTCAAACCAGGGTGGGTTAGGATTAATATTTAAGAGCAACAATGTTTTAGCAGGCAGGTTCTATCAAATATCTCTTCCATATTCTATGTTCTCATTTAGGGGTTTCTTTCTCAAAAGCTAAAGCAATAAAATTTCTGCGAACCTAAAATTCAAACCAATTTGATATCCTGTGATATTTTTAGTTTCTTTAAACGAATCTCTTGTACTTTTAAATAGTATACTACCACTAGTGTACGTGAATAGTTACTCTCGTTTGAAATATTTTTTAAAATTCTTCAAGCTCACATGATTTTTTCCTATCATATTGTCAATTCTCACTTGACTACTATTTAGTCACTKTGAAGCTTTTATTTTTTTGAAGCACTGTAGCATTTAAGGAATTTCAACTGTATTTGAAGATTTAGCTTTGATAATTTTTGTGCTCATGCATAGCAAGTGGGAAACTATTAAATGCATATGTTATGAGAAATTCAACATATAAGGGTGGATACAAAAACAGTTTTTCAAAATTATGAACAATAATAATAAATAAATTTGTGATCTTTTTAACTAAAATTTGAGCATTATTACCTTTTTTCAAATATTTCTATTTATTTAAAAAAAAAACTTAGGTACACAAGTGAAGAACTATTAACATATACATATACAATCAAGAATTATATAATATATATTACATAATATATTTGAAAATTGCAAAATTTATATAAATCGTTTCGTTCGTAAATTTCAATTTGCAATATGGATTCGGCATATTTCCTTTAATAAATATTTTAGCATGTGGAGCRTAAATACCACTTTCAATGTTATATTTTTGTTGTTTTTAGCATATTATCAGGCAATTCGAGAGACTCGAGGTTTCCAATGAAACATTGCATATACCGCATTTCCAACATAAAATAATTTTTTGCATAAGTGGTAGACTGTAATATGGGAGTATGTATGTATGAATCATAATTTGATAATAAAAAATTGAAGTTCATATATACATTAATGCTTACGCACGTAGTAAATACATGTAGATTTTGTGATTTCCAGTTGATCCTCAATACAATTGCACTGATTAAAATTTATGCTGATAATGCAACAATGTTAAGTTTTTCATACCATGTTGACATGTATTTACATAAAAAGATACATAAGAACTGCTTTTAAAACGACGCAGTATGYCTAATCTCTATATCTAAGCTACTTGCATTTGCAAGCTTTATTTCTTAGGGCGGTCTTCAGTCTAGACTTTGAGACAGCTTTTATTAGAATCGGAGGACAGTATTAAAAGAACTAAAAAAAAAAATTGGACGTATAAGTTCATAAGAACATTCCTTTCAAATCATAAATTTTCAATAACTTCAATATTTTCTTCCTACATAATGGCACGCCACAAAGATCTTCTCTCTCTATCTAGTGATCTAGTCGCCAATGCCCAGAGCATACTCCAATTATGGAGGGAACACTTCTCCAGCCTGCTGAATGGCAGTGAACGCACAACGCCAGGAGAAGGCGAACCCGATTCCCCAATCGATGACGATGGAGCAGACGGTTCGTTGCCCGACCAGAAAGAAGTTCGAATAGCAATTACCCGCCAGAAGAACAACAAACCGGCGGTGGCCGATGGATTGCCGGCCGAGCTATTCAAACACGGCGGCGAAGAGCTGATAAGGTGCATGCACCAGCTTCTTTGCAAAATATGGTCGGACGAAAGCATGCCCAACGATTRGAATTTAAGTRTGCTATGCCCAATCCTCAAAAAAGGAGACCCCACAATCTGYGCCAACTACCGTGGGATAARSCTCCTCAAYATYGCATATAAGGTTCTATCGAGCGTATTGTRTGAAAGATTAAAGCCCACCGTCAACAAACGGATTGGACCTTATCAGTGTGGCTTCAGACCTGGAAAATCAACAACCGACCAGATATTCACCATGCGCCAAATCTTGGAAAAGACCCGTGAAAGAAAAATCGACACTCACCACCTCTTCGTCAACTTCAAAGCTGCTTTCGACAGTACGAAAAGGAGCTGCCTTTATGCCGCGATGTCTGAATTTGGTATCCCCGTAAAACTTATACGGCTGTGTAAGCTGACGTTGAGCAGCACCAAAAGCTCCGTCGGGAAGGACTTCTCCGAGCCATTCGATACCAAACGAGGTTTCAGACAAGGCGGCTCCCTGTCGKGCGATTTCTTCAACCTGCTGCTGGAGAAAATAGTTCGAGCTGCAGAACTAAAAAGAGAAGCTACAATCTTCTATAAGAGTGTACAGCTGCTGGCGTTTGCCGATGATATTGATATCGACATTAAAGTTGTAGATAATTTCGTTTATCTTGGAACCAGCGTAAACACCACCAACAATGTCAGCCTGGAAATCCAACGTAGGATAACTCTTGCCAACAGGTACTACTTCGGACTGAGTAGGCAATTGAGAAGCAAAGTCCTCTCTCGAAGAACAAAAACCAAACTCTATAATTTATCCAGCTATTGTGACGCAGTAGAGAAGTACAACTGGAGTGGAAATTAATATTCACCGACGGATCCTAATCAGACACCCACACCCAAGCTGTCACCATAATCGCCTGCTCGATATTTTAAGCTAAAGCGGCTGCGATATATGAAGCGGTTCTATTTGTAGAACAAATGGGAAAAAATATTGGGTAGTCGAAAAAGTCTTTTCGTATTTTGTCAATAGATGTTGTTTCAGGCGTATAACCAGTGCTACCATTCACATGGTGTTATACCATATATTGTTGGAAAGTTGAGCTTCATTTAACGAAAAAAAAAATTTAATTCGGGGAAGTTGAAAAATAGTTGCAGCTATTAAACTTATATATTTTGAAATTTTTGTATACGAAAGGGAAGTATGCCACAAAAGGCACCAATGAAATTTGTGAAGTTTACGGAGAAGAYGCTGTATCAGTCTGTGTAGCAAAACAATGGTTTGCTAGCTTCCATTCTGAAAATTTCCATGTTAAAAATACACCTCGCTCTTTCCGACCTACCGTTGGAAAAGTACATGAAATTATGAAAAAGAGTGACCAGAACCGTCACATGAGTAGCCATAACATCGCTAAAGAACTTATCATTCATCATTAAACGGTTTTGAACATTTGAAACGGCTGGTTACAAAAAGTAGCTCGATGTTTGGGTACCACATGAATTGTCCGTGAAAAATTTAATGGACCGAAATGACAACTGCTATTCTTTGCTGAAACAARATGAAATCGTTGAAATTTCTGAAGCGAATGATAGCAGGAGACAAAAAGTGAATTAAAGAAGACAATAATGTGCAAAAAAGATCATGGTCAAASCATCTTGAAACTCAACAAATGGTCGCAAAGCCAGGATTGAAGCCTCGAGAGGTTATGCTGAGTGTTTGGTGAGATTKGAAAATAATCATCCACTATAAGCTGCTCCAGACTAGTCACACCATTGATTCTACATTTTACTGTCAACAACTGATGAGATTGAAGCAAGCAATCGACAAAAACGGCCAGAACTGAGCAACAGAAAGGACTTCGTCTTTCATCAGGACAAAGCTAGACCACACACATTTTTGATGACTCGGCAAAAACTGCGAGAGTTTGGCTGCAAAGTTTTGATGCATCCACCACATAGCACAGACCTTGCACCATCGGACTACCAATTGTTTCGGTCAATGTAGAACTCCCTTAATGGAGTAAAGTTGGTTTCAAGAGAAGCCTGTGGAAATTATTTGTCGCAATTTTTCGCCGAGAAACCAGAAAAGTTTCACACCGATGGAATAATATCTCTTGAAGTTTCATTACAAAAAACGAAARGACTTTTTCGACCACCCAATATATAGTCTTTAGCGATGAATATATAAGGAAATTATCGTTATATCTTAAACTTCAGGCATAATAGCGCTTTTACTCATTTGGGTTAGCATAAAGCTTGTACATGCATTTTAAAATTTGTACTTACTTGCGATACAAGTGCTTTGGTTTCGGGTGTTGTACTCTCCAGAAAGATTTTCTTAAATTCACTTGGACTAGATAACTTAAATTCCGCCGCCGATGCGATGAAAGCTTGTATTTCTTGTAAACTTTGTTCGGCAATTTCCGGCGATGCTGAACATTTCTCGATGCGCTGCGAAGCTAACAGCTCAACGCCATTGGCACACCATTGATTAGCCTGAGAAACCACAAAAAATATAATTTTTTCATTAAAATATAACACTTTAATATAATTACTAACCTTTTCTACTCTCTCCATGAGTTCGCGATTCTTGCTAAGTATCTCCAGACGCTTGCACAAACGTTCCGCTATTATATCGCACACTCGCTGCAATTCGTCACACTTCGGCTGCACGATCTCCCACGGATAAACGCCGCGTACGCCGAGCAATTGCTGACCGGCGCTGATGACCTCACCGGCTCGCTCGATATCCACACGACTGAGCTCCTGATAGTGCTGCGTGTCAGCCATTAGGGTGTCAACACGTTCGACACTCTCGCCGATCTCGGTCATCTCGGCGACGCACTTCAGATGGGCGTCGAAAATTGTCTACAATAAAAGCGTGGAAAAGGAAGAAGRGGAATGTGGTTCGGTGTTCGTGGGTTTTCGTGGAAAACTTACCTGCAGCTCGCGGAAATCCTGCTCGAAGCGCCGCAGCTCCAAGCACTGTTGCAGTCGATTTCGATGCGTGCGCCAAAATTCGTCGAAGCGTCGCTCGGTCTCCTCCAGCTGCACCAGGAGTCTACGRTAATCGCGACAATCATCAAAATGTTGTGGTTTTTTGAATTTATATTGTTGATGATAGATTATTTGATGAGGTGGACGATTGCTAGCGTTCCCTGCACTGGCTCTGCTCGTGAGTTCACCAAGCCAAACAAGGCGTGGCATTGCAAAATGTCGGCAAATGTGAACCGGAATTGTGTTTTTTTTTTTTTGAAAGAAAATCATAATTTATTTTTGTTTTTGGTTTTTGAARTGCGATATTACACATTTGGTGTTTTTGTAATTGCGGTTATTTTTTCGTGAAGAATCGGATTTATTGAAGACGCGTTAGAATGTGTTTTTTTGTTATGTGGCGAATAGAGTGAAAAAGAGAGACAAGAGAATACAATATGCTGATGAGCGCAATGACAGACTAATGAAGCGGTGCGTGGTTTCGCTGAAGTTGTTGTAACGAGTAACGAGTGTTTTTTTGTGGGTGGTTAGGTGCGGGTAAGTTTGTTTTGAAGTCTTTGACGTGTGCGTGCGGGTATTTCAAGAAGACCCAATTGAAGGTGGTGATCAGTTTTGGAAATTTTTATTAAAAAAAATGTTTGAAACGTAAAAAGTACCATTTAATTGTTGTTGGGTGCTGGAGTGTATAGACAATGGAATTTTCTTCGTATATGTGTGTTCACATTATATTTTTTGACTTTTTTTCAGATTAAAATTTGTACGAAAAATTCATTTTTAT